ATAATCACGCCTCGTTAGATTATTTATATAATCTAATAAGCTATTACGTAACCTAATATCCTTATTAGTTAGTAGCTATACTTACCCTTACTAGTGCGGCCTAGCTCCCCGCGTCTCGTGCAGTGATATTCGTAATAAGTTAATATTCTTAACCTATACTTTTTAATTATTACTTCTCTTTAAATTATAAAAATTATACCTCTTTTTTACTATTAAGTAAGCGGTTTTAAGAATTAATTTTTATAGCCTCTTTTTCTTTTTTTAAAGCTCTTATAGCTTCTTTAATTAAGTAATTTAATTTTTAAGAGCTATAATAGCCTTATTTAATTATTTAAGTGTTTTCTCTTTACTTAAAGCTATTATATTCTTTTAATCGCTTAATAATTTTATTAGGTTCTTTATTATTAAAGGTAAAAGCACTTATAAAATAAGGGTTCTTTAAGTACTTATCTTTATTATTTTAATTAAGTAACTTTTTAAGAAGCTTTAAAAATTATAAGATTATAAGAGGGATTAAAAGTTAAGTAATTAAAGTAAAGGTAGCTATATTATAATAATTAAAGCTTATCTTACTTTTTAGTTGTGTAAGATACAGGGGTATAGTCCCAAAGCCCCCGTTCCACGTGACGTTGTCAATCGCGTTGCAGGTGGGCGGGGTTCCCCAACCACCTTACAGCGCGACAGGGCCTTACACAATACATTCCCCAGACTCTGCGTCCACACCAGACCACTTCGCCCAAAAATCATTTGCAGGGTTAGAACTTAGCGCTGGTCCGTTTCGGCTGCTCCCGCATATAATGTGATGCGTACCGTCTCTTGGCGCCCCGGGGTACAAGGATTCCTTCTGATTGGTCCAGATGGCGGCTATCAAAACCGCTGGCGCTTTAGACGCCACAACGGTTGATGTTACACATGATGGTGAGTCGGGCCGAATAAAATTGCAACTACTAGTAGCACCCATTGACCGCAATCAAGTCGAAAAAAATACAGTGGGTACAGGTAATTCCGAGTTTAGCCCAATTTTACACTAAAACTCTTACTTTTTAAGTGCTTATAATTATATTATATTTTATTATATTAAATAAAAAAATTATTTTTTATATTTTATTATATTAAATAAAAGAAAATATCTTTATATTTAAAATTACTTAAAGATTATATATATACTATTTTTTTATATTAATCTTTATTATTTAATATAATATAAAGCTTTAAACTTATCTAAAGTACTTTAACTAAGAAATTTATTAGTAAAAGTACTTTTAATATTTTTAAAGCTTTATAAGTAAGTAAATAAAATAATAAATAATAAATAAAAATTATTTATATAAATTTTAAGTAATGAATAATTTATTTAAATTTTAAAAACCTTTTTAAGTATATTATTAAGCTTAATAATTAATAATAAAATATATGAGTTTTAGTGTAAAATGGGGCTTTGCTCGGAATTACCTACGACCCACTGTAGGTGCTCCATCTGGCCATCTGGAGCTCGAAAGGTCAGAGCAACTCCAGATGTACAGGGCATTGGTATTGAAATGCCGTCACTGTTCTTGCAGCGCTCAACTTTGCTATTCCAGTACTTGTACCACGTGCGCTACGTACTTGGGGTGTTCTCGTTCCCAAACTTGGACCCCTTGTAAGACCCGTTGCCGCTCTCGTGTTTCTCTTCGCGCTGTTGTGTTCCAGATGAGGCCAGGTGTGGTGCCCGCGCAAGTGCCTGTGAACCAACGGTGCTTCGTACCCTCATTATATTTCATGCGCTTGGTAACGACGGCTGCAGCGAGTTTATGCATGTTGGTCCAGATTCAGGTAATCAGTCAGGAGGTCAACAGCTACTGTTCCGTGATTTGGCGCCCCCCAGCTGAACCCGGTATAGTAGACCAACAAATCTTTCACTCTATTGCTACCTATGCAAGTATAAAAAGCACGTTGCGGGCTGGTCTTTGCAAATTATTGTCAAGTGACAAGATTCAAGTTATTGAGGCTTGGAACTCTGTTCCATTCAACAGTCTAATAACTCTCTTTGGTGTCAAAAAGTCCTTGATTTCTTCTCCCCTCGGGTGCTGAACAGGCTCCTTTTATACAAGGCAGCGCTGAGATTTTATGTGCCTGAGGCCCTTAACTTTGGTCTTGCGGTCAACCTCATTGTGTAACTATCGTCGTGTTCAAGGGCCGTTGTGAACACACGCGTGGACCACATTGTCTTTCAAATTCTCTTCCGTTGCGCTTAGGCCTAGAGGGTCCAGCCAGCTTTGCACCGAAATGGCCATCTCACTGGACTCTTCTGTCCTAGATCAATTGAACACTACCGAGTCAAGAAAGCTTCACGAGCTGACAGACAAACTGAGCACCTGCGGTGTTGGCAGGATTGTCAACCTCCCGCAGATCATTGTTGTTGGCGAGCAGTCAGCGGGAAAGTCATCCGTTCTGGAGGCTGTTTCTCATGTCCGCTTCCCGGTCAAAGGGGACCTCTTCACTCGATTCGCAACAGAGATTGTCCTTCGTCAGGCAGCACAGACCCGTGTGCATGTCAGCATTCGATTCGACGACAAGTCCAAGCCAACCCGGACGTTACAAAGAGTGGGATTCAGCGAAGATGATCTCCCAGACATTATCAAGGAGGCCAAAGAATTCATGGGAATAGATTCTACAGGCCGAGGCTTTTGCAAGGACATTCTACGACTAGAGATTGAGGGCCCCAACATGTATCCGCTGACTCTCGTGGACCTCCCCGGGCTGTATCGCGTCGAGACGGCAACCCAGTCCATGCGAGGCAAGGAAACGGTCGACCAGCTTGTGGAAAGCTACATGAGGCAAAAGAACAGCATCATTCTAGTTGTCGTCGCCGCCAACAATCAGCTTGCCAACCAGATTGCCCTAAAAAAGGTCAAGGAATTCGATCCGGACGGCGAGCGAACGCTGGGCGTCATTACCAAGCCTGATCTTACGTGGCCGGGGAAGCCCGAGGAACGCAGCTACATACAACTAGCGAGAAACCAAGAGAGCGCACATAGGCTCAAGCTCGGCTGGCACGTCTTGCGTAATAGAGCAGAGGACGGAGACACCCTGGACGCCCGTGATGCCACCGAGACAAGCTTTTTCGAGACGACTGCCTGGGCTACGATTTCAAAAGACGATTGTGGGATTGTCAGTCTGCGCAAGAAACTAAGCAAGGTGCTTTATAGCCATATCCGGCTGAATTTGTCTGCCGTGATGGACGACATTGAAGGAAAACTTGGGGAGAGGCAAGAAGAACTCGGCCAATTGGGAGCACCGAGGTCGAGTGCTCAAGAGATGCGGTCGTTTCTCCTCAATATCTCACAAAAGTTTCAAAAGCTGGTATGGGACGGCATCTACGGCAGGTACAACGACCCGTTCTTTGGCGATTTAGGCGGTACAAACCACAAGTTGCGCGCCCAGTTGAGAAATTTCAACCTCGCCTTCGACCACGTACTAGCAACAAGGGGATCCAGGCTCGCCATTGCGCCAGACGATGATTGGAACAATGCGCAGCCTCATGCCCCCGGGTTCCTCAAAAGTTTTCTCGACGAGTATCCGTACGACTTTCCCGAGCCAGAGTCCGTCAGCAGGGAGGCCCTCAAGACGCACCTGGAGAGTCGAGCGGCGGCCAACCAAGGCTGTGAATTCCCAGGCTCCCACAACTCGGATCTCATTGTCCAGCTACTCCAGACACACGCTTCGCCATGGAAGCATATCGCTGCATTCCACATCAGGCAGGTTACGTTCGTGGCCAAGGCGTTTGTGGACCAACTGATTCGCCACATCGTTGGTCATCCGGACGGGAGCCCGACAACCGAGGCCATTCTTTGCGGCTGCGTCGACCCATTCTTTGCAGAAAAGGAGAAGCTCCTCATGGAGAAACTCGAGGAGCTTCTCCAGCCGTATTCAAGGGGCTACGCCATGCCTCTGGACGTCGAGTTTCGTCAAATGGTCACGAACAGGACCGTCAACCGTCTGGCTGAACGATTGGCCGAGTTGTCAGCGGAGAAGCAGATGAACCCTACAGACGCTTTCGAATTCGGGAAACTCAAGAGGGACATGCTGAGGGAAGCCGCGTCTACCCTCGATGCAGTCGATGGAGGGCAGTTTGGAACGGAAAAGATCATTGACATGATGCTGGCGTATTACGAGGTAAGCTGCTGTCAGCTTATAACAACAACCTTCTCGGCACTGCGCGGTTCGCGACTAATCTACAAAAGATGTCTCGACGAACGTTTACGGACAATGTTATCAACCTAGCCATAGAGGGCGGTCTCATTCAAGACTTGCCAAACATTCTCACGCCGACCCAGGTGGACAAAATGGAAGAAGGGCAAGTCAAGAAGCTGGCGGCCGAAGCAGAAGAAGCCCAGGTTCGCCGCGAGCAGCTGCAAGTGGAAAGTAACGTCCTGCGAGAAGGCCTCGAGCAGTGCCGCAAATACAAACCCAGAGGCGTGACTGGTGAGTTTCCAAATCACAAGATTTGCCTTTGGTATATGCTAAGCTGCTTTGGATCCAGTTGTGCCATCCTCAAGGTCAAGAATTCAGCCGGTTATCGAAAGGCGCAGTGTCTCAGGTAAGTGAGCCCAAGCTCAAGGGGAAGAAGAACCTGGAGTTTGGTGGCATAACATTGAATAGATCAATGCCAACTCACTGCGGATTCCGGTCCTCTGTTTACATCACCAGCCAGACCGGCAGCTCCAGACGGGCTTCTCGCTCCTCCTGCGATTGAGTCACTCACGGCGTCCGCATCATCCGGAAGACCAGCATCTCCGTTGTTCCAAATTCCATCCGCCGTACAAGGCAAGTTGACACGACCTTGTTCCAGTGTGGTAATCATCAGATCTGGCTCACGTTGATGAAATGGAAACGCTCAACAGTCTATTCTAGCTTGATGATACGAATGTATACAGTGCTGACATTTTCTGTACTACAGGCTCCAGCACCGGGAGTATATTTGGTAGAGATTCAGCTTTCACAGTATCAACAAGCTCTGATTCTGGTGGCCTATTTGGTTCGAGACCTCGGCCTTCTGCTCCATTCTCAAACTCCGGTTTCGAGAGGACCTTTGGATTTGGTGACGGCCAAAGTAAGTTTCTTCACCCACCCTCTACATGCTAGCTGCGGTCGGCATGCCTGGCACTTGCATTCTCTTCAACCAGAAGCTCTCTGGCGATGCAGGCTGATGTTTTCGCAAGCCATGGCACAATTTCAACCGCACCAGGTGACCGAGTGGGGGATAGTACACCACTTCCAAAATCTTTGTGCGACGCAAAGGTGGAAAACCTCTTCACCGGAGGAGCTAAGGTTGCAATTTTACCAAGAACAGCGGCGACAGAAGGAGGCTTTGAACCTTGTTCTTTGAATTTGGAAATGATGCGTTTGCTGGGTCTTGCCCGTTGAAGATGAGACTTGCGATTACACATGCTGCGTTTACTACTTGACCTAATCATATTTTCAACCGATTCATAGTCATTCTCTCTCTTGGTTGGTGTATAGTGCTGTACTAAAATGCGGCCACCCCATTACTCATGAGCAGGGATTCCAGGCAACATGGAGCAGTTACTCATACGAAACTGACTGTATTCACACCATGTCCTCGGCTTCGATTGAAACAGCAAGCGGATGCGGCAAAGTGCGGCAAAACTAACAGGCTGGTAGTTAAAAAGGGACGGGCGTCCCAATGATTCCAAGTGTCCTCGTTGTCTTTGTCCCGACAGTGGAGGAATCAATGGAGGCTGATTATTCCTGCAGCATGGAGTAGAGTGGATGATTTAGGAACACGACGCTTCTGTAAACCTAGGGTGAGACAGACTATTCAACCAAACTCGACATTCAGCCCCAATTACGCATTGTCTGGTTAATCTACTCAACGTCATCATGTTGTAGAATACGCCTCTCTCCTCCGTCAATCGTTGCGGACCGTCAAACGCAACCACCTCACCAGCCGCGAGCACGACCACCTTGTCGTAATTCCCAATATCGAATCTGCTTCAGAGTCCGTGTTGGCCGTTGCCTCGCCCAGAAGCATCAGCTTGGATTCGCGAGCCAAGACGCGGCACGGAGAGAGGAGTTGGCGTTGCCCGCGAGAAGAGCTGCCGCCCTCGGTATCAACTCGTGTACAAGGTCCAAGTTTGCCGTGCAACAACAGGCCCGTATAATACTCTCATACCTCTCAGGTTCGTACGCAGAGCTGACCAAAATATTGTCCTTGGTTGAAATGGCCTGTGGCCAGGGGCTTTGAGAAACGAATGCAATATCTCTTGGGCACTGAATGCTGCCACTCTCCAACACGCCATCAAAAGACTCGTCCTGCCACCGCCGCTAGGCCCAGTCACAACATCAAGACCGCCGCTGATAAAGTCTAGCCCAAGGTCCTCAAGACGGGAACCAATGGGCATGCTTCTTCGAAAAGAGACGCACTCGAATTTGAGCGGCCCGTCAGGATACTCGTCGCGAGGAATCCTTGCAGCAAAGTACTAATCCAGCCTCGGAAGCGAGATTCGCACTTTTGAAAGGTAAAAGCCCGTCATGCTCATGGCTGTGAAATCGTCTCTGATGAGCTCGAGCAAACTGATGGCGGTATATGCCACGGATGCGGTGAGAGGCTGGCCGAGGACAAAAACGTACAGAGAAAACATGACCAGGAGAGCAATGACGGGAATGCAGTACGCCGCTTCGCTCACTGCTGTCAAGAGCAGGTCAATCTTCCACAAGTGGTGTTGCTCCACGGATCGAGATTCCTTCAGCAGGTCCACGACCATGTCTTCCCAACCGAAATACTTGACGACTCTGACGGAGCGCAAAAACTCGGACGCGACCGTGATGCGGCCGTCTTGTACATCCTTGAGCGACTCTTGCTGTTCCTCGCTCGTGTTCACCAGCCAGGCCGTGATGAAGGAGCCCGGGAACATGATTCCCAATTCAACCAGACACGGCCAACCGACAATGTAGTAGAGACTTGCGACGGAACCGATACAACCCATGGGTATGCCGGCAACAATCACGAGCACAACTGGCATCACAATGGCGGTGTGGGTGCGCGAACACGGACAAGAGAGACAACCAACATTTTTCCCGAGTAAGGCGCGACACGACGCCCTGCCGGGATATTCGGTGGCATGACATGGAGCTTACATGGAGCGGGCATCTCGCGGTCAAGCAAATGTTGAAATTGTCACCGTCTTTGCTGCCCATATGAACCTGGTGTGCGGCAACCATGCCTTCTCCGACCAGCTTGGTTTCTTCACTCTTGCTACAATTCATCTTCTTGTGCCGAATCCATTCGTCTGTCAATCTGTCATGTTTACTTCCCACTTCCCACCGTCTCGAGCCAACGACTCTGCTTGGCGCGGTGGTGAGGGTTTACTACGGGATACAGCAAGGTACGCTGAGCCTGGGATCGAGCTTGGCATGAGAGACAATGGCTTCGACGACGACCATGTCTTGTTGGCGCGACGAATATCGTCCATGTCAACGAATATCAGAGATGCAGCTCCATCAGTTAGAGCTACGTCCTCATTTCCTGTCGGCGGTAACACGTTGCGTGGGAACCGGGTGACACCAGGGACGCACCACGCTCTGTGAAGCGGTTCCATTCGCGATCAATCTCAGGGCTTGGCTCGCCGCGAAATTGACCGCCGAGCTCCAAAGACCCATTGAACTTGGTGACGTCTTGAGCGCGGGCAGCTGAGATGCTGGAGGAGAGTTGGCGATGCTCGCCAGGTTTACTTGCACCTAGCCTAGTCAATCACTTGCACCAACGGCCCTCTTGAGAGTCGCATTTGGTCTGTTTACCTGTGGTTACTGCTCCCATGATATAACCCACTGCAACGAGCAGCGAAAAGAGACTCGCTCGGGCAAATATACTCCAGTTGTCTCGTCTTTTGCCGCTGAGTTGATTGTTCACGACGGCTGATTCCCTAGGAACGCCTATCTACGGCAAGGACGACATGATGATGGCAGGTTTAAACGACCAGAACCGTGGTCCTAGGTCTCGCCGTGTGTGTCGAGGGCTGCGTTTGATCTGGCCGGGATGACTGTGTCTGGGGGTATGTTTGCTTCTTGGGACACACTGCACAATTTTCACCACTGTTAATCGGGCACTCTTGAATTATCCTCGTCACCCTGAATTCTCTGCATTCGTTTTATATATTGGGAGCGCAGCATAACAACATGTCGACCGACTCTGCCGAGGCCGAGAGCTTGCTCTCAGGCCGGAAAGAGACCTTCACTGATGGCGTCGCCAACCAGAAATCTCACCTATTCTTTTTATATGCCATTAATGTCTTGCTATCCCGTGCATCGGTTTGGTCACTGGCGAGAAAGTCGCAGCCCCGACTCTCTCGGTTCTATTGCAAGTCATTCCATCTGCCCCCAAAGTTCCCTGGCGTTGTAACCGACAGAACTTCCAGCTATCGTCCTCGAAGCCCCCGCTCGATATATTGTGCGATATGAAAATGTAGTCTTGCTCGAAAATGTCTACGAGGTGTCGGGATTTCAAGGGCCACCCGACGACAAGAAGGACGAGTTGTGGGATCTTTTATATCCAAGTAGGTGATTATAGCAACGCCCAGATCTATTTCTATTCGACAATGGGCCGTGGCTAGAAACTTGCTAGACTGGGATCCAACAATCCCTAGTCGACTGGCAGATTCGAATTGCTGCATGTTTGGTCGGGCGGGTGTTTATAAAGAGACATATTGCTACCACTCGAGCCCCAATCTTGCGACAAGCAACTTCTCTCTGTAATTGCCAAAATCGAGTAGACAATCTACCACCATGAAGCCGACTACGATTCTCGCTGGCGGACTGACTCTTGCCTCTGCCGTCTTGGCAGCTTTGGTCCCGCCAGGTCCCTCGATGGACTCCAACAGAGAACCGACGCATGTGTCTTACTTACCGCGTGAAGCTTTCAAGTGATACTGATGGACATGGGACCTCGTCGGGCGTGGTGCACGATTACTTGGCCGAGCGATCTGGCAATGTGAGCAAGACTATTTAATTGCATGCCCTTTGGTCCAACCACTGTCGATGGAAAGCGAAAGAAGATTTACTGCCACAGAAGATCGGGCAACGTATGCGATTTGACATAAAGTTGATGACAAGATGCCAACTAACCATGATGGGCTGTCGACCACAAACGCAAGGAGAGCTACCACGACAAACAATCTGGCAATGTACGTGCTACAACGTCGCATCGATACACGACGAGTAAAGGCCAACTGCCATAGGACGTTGGTGGAGAGCGAAGGGAGAATTACTACAGTAGAGAATCCGGGAATGTACGTGGCATGCTTGTCTTGGCACACGTCTATAACTAACTACCCCAGGATGTTGATTTGAAACGCAAGAAGAGCTACCACGACTAGGATGGCAAAAAATAGCTCCCGTACACCAGATTGATGGGAAAAGGGTTTGAAAACCCCCCTAGACTTGGGAAGAAAGTGCTGGCAGGGCATGATCACGCTGTCCACCAAACATGGATGATTACATCAACGAATGCCATCGCAATCTGGCTTGCGCAACTATTTCATTTTGACATTACAACACCAATACTGTGACTAGTGACAGTTATATGTAATACACTCGTTTCTTTAGAAAGTGCAATTCGGATGAGTTGCTTCTTGCTAGCACGCCCATGTCGACGGGCGTGCCTCGTTTGAACCGGCACCGCAGCCGATTCGGAGTCGGACACTGGAAGCATAGATTTCCAGCTTGTACATACAAGAGACGCTTCCTGGCTGGTGCCGGCGGTGCAAAGACGAGCTGCAGAGTGATGGGCGCCTCGCGAATAATCTACAAACGTCTAGTAATGTTGCGTCACATGGTCATGGTTGCATAAATGGACTTGTATCGCAGCTAGAAACCGTCGCGGAGAGTATATGGGAAGACGACATAGTTCGGATGCCAGCCCCGTCCAGTCGTAGTCTGGTGTTGATGGAATAGAAAATCCCACAAACGAGGAAGCAATCATCTGCAGAGTATTCATACTGGCGTCTTTTGCCAAGTCAGGGCAACTATCTGGTCCGGGACTAGCTCCAGGTTCAATGACAAAACGCTCTACGCACCCAATGTCAATACTAAGCATTATGCGTGTCCCGAATAGCATAACGAAACGAGCCGTCTTGAAGCTGCCGCTACCCAGCTTGAAAACACGAGTCGAAACGCTCAGTCTTGCCTGTTCAATTCTGTCCATCCCACAGCGCTCGAAATCGGCCATTCTGGCCCTGCAAAAGAGTCTCTGGCTTACCAATCTCAGCAACACAGAGAGGACCGTCTGGTGGGCAATTCCCTCTCAAGTACCTTGACCATGAGCTCCTCAGTCTCCTGATCAACCGCACTCAATGCCTCGTCCAACACAAGCACCAGGCCGATATCCTTGCGAATAGGCGCCCGAGCGAGGCAAAGGAGCTGTTTTTGGCCCTGCGAGAGACTCAGGTCTGACACGTCGCTATCGAGGCCCCCCTTTGGACTCAATTTATCCCAATGTTCGACCTTTCGCAGGCAAGAGATGATGTGTGCGTCAGACTCGCCTGCCTTCATTTCATCCGTTCCCCCACCAGGGCAAATGTTGGTTCAAAGTGTCCCTGGAAAAAGCATCGGCTCCTGTGGCACTGCAATGAGGCGCGGTCGCACGACACTTTGCGTAATATTCGAAATGTCTATTCCATCGACCGTAATTGTGCCCGATTCTGGATCCAACGGCCGGAATAAGGTGAGAAGCAGCGTCGACTTTCCACTTCCTGTCCTGCCACAGACCGCAACTTTCTCCTCTTGTCGTATCGACAGTGTGACGTTATTGAGAGCCCGGTAGCGGTCGTTGCCACCGTTAGTAGAGTAGGACGCGGTCACTTTTTTTAAATTCCACCTGTCCCCGAGACGGCCACTTCTCAGGTGGCTGCTGTGGCTGCGGGCTCGTCACCTCCTGTGGTGTATTTGCTTCAAAGCTCTTGAGCCCCTCTATCGCGTCCAGAGAACCCGCGAGACTTGTCCAATTTGATATAGGCTCAACCAATGCTGAGCTTAGACTAGCGACATTAATTAATCCCAACGCAAGAGCTCCGGCACTTGTGCCTGCTGGGGCCACAACTGCAAGTGTGATGAGAGTAACCGCAAGACTTCCAACAAAGAGTTCCAAGACAAGCTTAAGCCAGCATTGAGCCCCGAGGAGAAAATAATGAGGCTTCTGGGAATTATCGAGCAGTTTCAGTCAAGTTTCCTCAAAGGCCGACACCCACCCGTAAGCTTGGGTGGTCGATACCCCGTCAATAGTTCCCTTCAGGTGAGAATACAGAGGGGCGGTAGCCTCCAAATCCAGGTGCCGCAATTGGCGAGATGTTTTCAGGTAGAATGCCTGTACGCATTACATCACAAGAATAATGAGCGGTAGGGCTATGGCAAGATATCTTGAGCCGTAGAGCACCTTGGCTGTGGATTAAAGGAGCGAGAAAAAGCCTGGAAGGATTAATTTTTGGTTGAATGTCAAATATATAGGCTTAGTCTATACCGCTAACGCTTAGCCACACCCCAACAGGCAGGCGCTGATTGATAATGTCGTGGTCTTTGCTGAATCTGGACTTTACAGTTAATCTCCATCTCCTCACGATAATAGGAGGAATACCGGGGTTACCAACCGGTTTATCAAGTCACCTACATCGGTAGAGACGAAGAAGGGTAAGGGCGCAACGAGACTCCATTAGTCATCTAAAATCAAGATCAAAAAACAAGGTACAAACTTCATGACGGTTTTGAGTAGGGTCCAGTGTAGCTTCTTAACAGACGATGTCGATGTTGTTACGTCGATCATGACAAACCTTTCCCAGATTAGTTACTACTCATGAAGCGGGCAACAAATGGCACCTACCGGATCGACCAACCAACAAAACCAGACCTACGACCTCGCCAAGGGCATTGACACCAAAGTACCAACCATTGCTCGTTTGCGGGCTCTTCGAATTGGCAGTTGTCCAAATCATGAGCCAAATCTCTGTTTCCAAGCATTGGTAACTAAGGGTAAAACACCATGGTTGCGGCTCATACCTGGAAAGATGTTTGTCAACGCATTTGCTGCCTCGCTAATAAGGAGTATCATCAATTTTCTCATGCCAATTGCCTCGAAATAAAACAAGTACAGCGTAACATCTCCAGATGACCGTATTTTAGAGTCGATTTTACCGTCAACGTTCTTTCGTCGAGGAGGCCTCGGCGCCTCTTTCAGCAATGCTATTTTTTGAGATATTTCATCTTCATGGGCTGAATTTTCTTCGCTTGAGGCCGATATTAAAGCTTATACCCGTAGAAGCCTTAAGTTCGTCTAATGACCCCTGTATTACTTGGCCTGGGCCCTGATCCCCCAGTAGGATGACGCTATCTGGCCGGTCAATTAAGTGCACTGCATCATGTGCGTCAGCACGAGTTGCCCGGTATATCATTTCAGAACGAAAAATTTGGGAATTCGGATGCCCTACAAGCGCGAGTGGCAAGAATAACAGTGGTTTTGCTTCCTGTGAGAAGTCCTTTTGGTGCCAAGACTCGATTATACACATGACGCTGGGTTATCCAGTCGAGGCCGCTCAAGACGTCGTCGAGAACCACAACCGGTTTCCTTGAATATAATGCACGAGCCAGCGACTACCACTTATTAGATGCGGATTTGCATGGGCCTCTAGCAGGGGACAATCTTACTATGCGTTGCTTCTGGCCGCCACTTGAAGAAAGTCCGTTGGTCCCAATAAAGGACATGTCATCGTTAGGAAGTTGTGCCAAGTCCCGATCGAGTGCACATGCAGAGACCACCGTCCTATACCAATCTTTATCCATTACCGACTGCCCTAAGATATTTGATCTTACGGTGGCATTCATAAGCCATGGTGTCTGGGCACAATATGCAGCACCAGCTCCATGTACTTTGAGATAGCCTGTTGTTTGTAACTGACCAAGCAATCCCCTCAAGAGAGCACTCTTCCCAGAACCGACCTTACCAGCCACTAATGTGAACGAGCCGGGTTGGGTGAAAAGATTAATATCTCGCAAAACAGCTTCGTCATTAGTCTTGAATATGGTGCTCGCGTCTTTGGGAGCGATGAGCGCGTCCCCCAAGAATCCGAATGGTGCCACAGCTCCGGGGCCAGTGCCTGGGCCTGAGCCATTCAGCTCTCCTGGGGTTACAGCATCGCTGTAACATACTCTACTGTCCTCACAAGTCGTGATGAAGTCCTGCAAGCTAGTGAATCTCGTGAAAGAACTAATCAAAGTTGGCAAGGAATATGTGAGCCAAGAGAGTGGCCTGTGACGAGACTTAGGATGCTCATGGCAGTGAAAGCTTTCGCCACGGTGAACTTTTCGCCCGACTCAGACCCAAAGGAAAGAAGAGCGATGCCAAAAGTCAGGACGGGCGCAAACCTGGGCGGTGTATTCCCTATGCAGCTGTTAGCAAAGAAAAAAAAAACAGCACCAGTTGAGTTTGACTGTGAATCGTGGTACCTAGCAAATTCATGAGAGTTATCAGCTTGCGGAAGAAAATAGACCTCTTCATCTGAACATCGTGCAGCCTAACAATGGCTCTGAGCCACGGTTCGACCAGCCCGAGCTTTTTTTTTCCTTCATTGACCCCAAAACACTACTCGTGCTGCTGACTCTGTTTTGAGGGGCTTCATTGCTGGCTTTCACAGCCGGTGCCATGTGCTTGAATAAATGAAATGTCCCTATGAACGAGACTGCATAACTTGGTCAGTTGTATTATAAGAGAACAAGACCATATGGCAGGGAATCATACACAGTACGGCTATTGCAGGACCAACCGAGCCCCATCCTATTTGAACGACAAGAAACCAAAGAGCCAGGCCAAGTTCGATGGGGGTTGCCCGAAGCTCATGGATCTGTGTAAAAGCTTGATCTATGACGGCCACGTCAGTTGTGACCAATGTCAGAACCGCGGAACTTTCCTTGGCCTCCGATTCTAGGTCCGTGGCATTATGCAACAAGAACGACACAAGGCAGACGCGAATGGCGGTGAGAATTCGATATATTTTTTGCTGGGAGAAGCTGTAGCCGATCGAGAACAAAAAAATGTTAATGCCGCGCCACTATTTTGACCATGAGAGTAGTCATACAGCAAGTCCAAGGTACAAGAAACCCGTCGCCGGGATGAGAGAGTAGCCTAGTTCGAGAGAATAGGCTCCTTCAGTTCCCCGGTTCTGAATAAAGCGGATAACCCTGTTGATTAGAATCGGCTGCGACATTTTAAAGGCGGAATAGCATATTCTTGGAACAACCCCAGCAAGCAAAGCACCCTTTGTAGAGCTGAGCAAGGTGCGAAGCAGTGCATGCTTCCCAGAGTCTCTGTAACGCAGCCGATTAAGCTGCATTAGGTGCAACAAAGTCTTCAGCGGAGATCCGAATCTGAAAGATGCAACTTTTCTACCGATAAAGTCGTTCCGTAGCCGGTAAAGAAGAGATCATTCAGCCACCACAAAAGGCTCCTACTGATGATTCCACTGGTAGCTTCAGGGCCCAGGGACCTGCCTTTGCCGCTGAGTATAAAAGCCTTATTCTGGGATTCTAGGAGTAATAAAGCAACTTTTGTTGCCAGCAATGCTGAGACGATAGTTGCCAGGGGCTGGGCGCTGTGAAGCAACCAGAGAGTTCGACAGCGTACCGACTCAAACAATGACGAAAGCAAGAGATATACACAAAGCATACTCGATGGCCTCACAGATCGATGATGCTCCAGGTAAGTCAGCATGGTGATAGCCGCAGCATCGGCCACGCCCAGACCTGATGCAATGAGCGTGACACGTCTGGCAGGAACGACGCCACCAATGTTTCTCCAAATGATGAGCAGAGAGGTTTGGAATAATAAAAACATAAAACAAAGGGCCTGGTTACGCAGTTAGTATTCATACATTCTCATTTCGGGGATCTTGCTGCGGGAATCGAAGAATCAAGGCCAGGTGATTGCATACCATCTTCAGGTAGAGACCAAGCCTCGCAGAAACCTTGGGTCTCTGGCCACCAAGCTGGCAAATTCGAAACGGCGTTACCAAGAGCAGGATGACAGAGGGGACTATCTCGAAAACTAGCAGTTCAAACAAGAGAGTGAAGTCAAAGCGCCCGCCGGGACAATCAGCTGCAAATGGCCCAAATGAGCCATCGCAACTAGCAAAGCTGGGTCTGCGAAAGGCGTATTGATAGATCCGCATCATCTTTAACTATAAGAAGTCAAATAGAAAACAATTGGTACTTGCCAATGGACAGTCGCAAGATTTGATTGGTTTGATGGAGTATTTGGGTAGGATGATTTGAATTGGCTATTTGAGGCAACAAAGCGAATTTGCAAAAACCGCTCATAGACTCTCGCAGCTCCTCACCAGTCATCAAAAGACGTCAATGATGCTAAGACGGCAGGTCAACAGTTGATCTCGTTCTGTTTGTCTGCATCTCGGTGTGTTGGTTCTGCAAACATGCGACGTCCTCAACACCAATGCCAAACCAACGGGCAGAAGGAAACGTAGGCAGGCAACAGCAAGCGGCATCTTGCTGAC